GGCTGTTGTGATTCCCAGCTGTCGCTGTCTCTCCGGGAGGCAGGAACGGAGCCCTGAGGCAGACCGCTGCTTAATTTTAACGCCCATTGCAGAATTTCCATATTCTGCTGACCCTAAATTTTGTGGCCAGAGGCAATTTCAAAGGGATCTAAGGTTTTATGAACTTTTTAATCAATTTTCTGTTTTTTGTATTGCCTCTGTCTGTCCGCCCCCAAACAAAGGAATGACCCCTCTGTGGATGTAGCAAAAAAAGGCCGGCAGGCTCAGGTGATGGCACCTGCCCACATGGGACCCAGACACCTTCCAGATCAGAGATGTTATTCCAAGAGGGGAATAACGGGAGAGGGCATCACTCCCATTGCATCTCAGGGCTGGGCAGGGATGGCTGTAGACATGGCTGCCTCTTCCCACCCCAAAAGTGGCCGCCATTCAAGCAGCCTCTGCACACTCCCTCTCTCCAGCACCTAGAGACCCCACGGGACGGGGTGTGGGAGAAGTGGAGTGAGGAGGCTGTGCGTGCTCGGCCTGCACCGGGCAGGCAGGAGCTGCCCAGGTGTGAGCTGCCCGCTCAGCCAGGCAGGACTCCTCCATGTCTCTGCCCATCTCCTGCAGTGGCCTGCGGGGACCCCCCAGTGGTGGAGAACGCCAGGACCTTCGGTCGGAAGAAGGACCGCTACGAAATAAACTCCATGGTGCGGTACCAGTGCAACCATGGCTACATCCAGCGCCACGTGCCCACGATTCGGTGCCAGCCCAACGGGCAGTGGGAGGAGCCGCGGATATCTTGCATAAACCGTACGTCTCGAGCCCTTCACCTTCGGGATAGGGCTGATGCATCCCTGCAGCTGGGAGAAGGAGCTGGGAATGAGGGGGAGCATCGCCCTGGGGTGCAGGTTAGCTGCAAGCCAGGCAGAAGGGGACATCATGGTCCCCTTGATTTGTTGAAAGCTGCCCCGTGATGGGGCCATGGGAGCTGGCATCTTCTGGGCAGGTGTGGACCACAGGGGCTGGCTGGAGGGGCAGCCCGGGCAATTCCTGCCCTGGAGGTTCCTCCACCTAGGCAGGGCAGGGACAGCTCCAGAGCCAGAAAAGGGCAACAGGAGCTTACCAAGGGCCCAGGCTACTTAAAGAAAGGAAACAAAAAGAAGTGGCTTCTGAAAGGGTGAGTTTTGGCACCGCCTGCATCAGCAGAGAGAATAGGAGGAGGGAGCTGTGGTCCCCCCGGGCCCTTCCCCGGCATCCCCCTTCCCTGGGAGCGGACAGGAGCCCTGCGGCAGAGCTAAACCAAGGATCAGGGCTGGGCTCCTGGCCCTTCTCCTGTCAGGCCTCCAGCTGACCGCAGCCAACCCTCTCCCACTGGTGTCCCAGCCCACTCCCAGGCCTGCCTACACCCCTGTCCCATCCCTGCTCGCCTGCAGCTTCCCAATAATTTCATCAACCTCCGCCAAATCGCATCTGTCCAGTGGCCTCCTTGCCAGGTTCTGGTCCAGCTGGGCAATTCTAGCTAAAGCAACAGTCCCATGGCCAGGGAAAGACAATACGGACTTAAGAGACAAACACCCGCCCCAGGGAGGGGAGAGAAGGAGGAGGGATGGAGGAGGTGTCCGAGAGCGGCCACTGGGGTGGACCAAGCCGCTGACTCCTTTGGCTCCACCGCAGACCTGGAGAGCTGCAGGCTGCTCCCAGCACAGACCATCAGCGATCAAGAGACCGAGGCTGTTCCCAATCAGCTTTTGCTGCTTCCATCAACTTCCATGCAATTATCGTGCCGGAGCAGTGCCAGCTTCGAGGGAGGCTGGCAGCAAAGATCAGGCAGAAACCTTGTCCCTGCCAGCCAGACGGGGCCGTTTCCCCTCCTCTGCCCTGAGCACATCCCACTGCTGATGGATATTTCCCTCGCTGTCCCAGGGGATCGGGGAGGGACTGGCAGGGCAGTGGGGGAGATGAGGCAGCTGTCCCCGTGCCCACCCCGTTAGCAGAGCTGCCCTCCTGGCCGGGCAAGGGAAGGGATGGGACAAGCACCCGCGGAGGGGATGCTCCTGCCCAGGCTGCGGGGAGGCACCCGGGCACCTTCACCCC